TTTCATTATTATTGCCTTTTATTACCAGTATCTTTGTAAATCCAATCTTTTTATGTCTTTGGGGGTTCAAAACATTACATATAAACATGTGCCTAGTGAACATCGGAGAATGGTAACATCAGCAAATTACGTGCTACAACATTACATGTAGTAAAAAACATACGGTCGTAAGTGCGATTGGTCGTAAGTGCAGTTGGGCGTAAGTGGAATACGTCGTAAATCGGGGGGCTACCTGTACTTGACCGAGGTTTGAATCACATAGATTCTCCTTCAACACCATTACAATTAAAAGTAAATGAATGTATCTACTTTGGTGAGCAGCGTCTGGGGTCTTAATCGCCTGTGAGTGGCCATCTAAGATGCTCCACTGGTGTCACCCCGTCTGGAGCAAGGGAGAGTGAAGAAGACTAAAGACACAAGGGGAAGATTAGTCCAAAGGCTAATGGACCACAACTACCACAGACTCCACCAGACTGAGTCCAGTACAACTAGATGATGCCTGGCTACCACCACCGACTGCTCTGACAAGGATCACAATAGAGGGTCCCGGACAGAGCTGGAGAAAAATGTAGAACAAAATTCTAACTCACTAAAAAAAAAGACCAGACTTACTGATCTGACACAGACTGGAGAAACCCCAAGAGTATGGCCCCTGGACACCGTTTTAGCTCAGTAATGAAGTCGCTCCTGAGGTTCTCTTCAGCCAAAGATGAGACAGGCCCATAAAACAAAAAGAAACTAAATGGGCACACCACCCCAGGGCAAGGACAAGAAAGCAGGAGGGGACAGGAAAGCTGGTAATGGTGAAGCCAAGGTTGAGAGGGGAGAGTGTGATATGTTGTGGCATTGGCAACAAATGCCACAAAACAAAATGTGTTATTAATTGTTTAATGAGAAACTAGTTTGCTCTGTAAACCTTCATCTAAAGTATAATAAGCATAAAAATTTTTAAAAAAGTAAATGAATGTAGGATTCACTTAACTGGGCTTCTGATCACATGGTTCACATTATAAAAACTTGATCATTTCTACTCAAACCAATTAATTGAGCCAACCAGGCCAAATCTAAATAGACAATGAAAGCAATTTTTATTATACTTACAGTTTGAACAAATTCAACATTATTATTAGACTATTAATTACCATTAAGTAGGCTGGTTACTTACATTAACAAGTTTTTATAGTTTGATTTTCTCTTTCCACAAATGATGCTTTTTCCTGTGACTACTCTGTGTCCGTTTTCTGTCCCTTTAGACACTGGCCCAAGACTGGATTCCATAGTTAGTATGTGAGACTGTCATTACTGTCTGGGGTAATCTCAGGAGCAGTGAACTTGGTGCTAGAAGACCTGAGTTCCAGCCCAGGCTACCTCACTTATGAGCATGAGAACCCCCACAAGTTACTTGATGGTGCAGAGCTGTGGTCTCTCCTCCGTAAAATGGAAACACTAATATCTCTTCTGACTCTATTTCATGGGCTTGTGGTAAAGATCAAATGAAATATTATACAAAAGTCTTTGTAAAACATGTTGTTGTTGTCGTTAGCTGCCATTCAGTTGCCGCACGCCCTCCACCCCTGACTCGTGCGCGACCCCATGCACACATTGAAACACTGCCTGGTCCTGTGCCATCCCCATGATCAGTTGCAGTTCAGACCCTTGTGATCCATAGGGGTTCATTGGCTGATTTTCAGAAGTAGATCACCAGGCCTTTCTTCCTAGTTTGTCTTAGTCTGAAAGCTCTGCTGAAACCTGTTCAGCATCATAGTAACACGCTAACCTCAACTGACAGATGGCTGGTAGCTGTACATGAGGTGCATTGACCAGGAATGGAACCCAGGTCTCCTGCATGGAAGGTGAAAATTCTACCACTGAGTCACCGCTGCCTCTTTGTAAAGCATAGAACCCCATCAGCTGTGAAGTATTTTTATTGGCACTTTCTAGGAGTCCAAGTGCTGAAACTCTAGAGTGCATTAAGAATCTCATGACTTGATAGTGCAAAATGCTGATTTGTAGGCCCCGATCTAGAGACAGTCTAATTTAGTAGGTTCTGGGTGGAGCTCGGGGATCTGCATTTTTAACACTCAATACCACCACCACCGTCATCCTTTCCCCTGCCATGTGATTCAGGGCACACACTTTGCGAAATGCTGTTGTAAAAGTTAAAACACTGCAGAAGAACTTCAGAAGTGGTCGTTTAGGCGAATAAATTGTCTGCTGACACTTTTGGATTAAGTACCACAAATCTAATTGCTTTAAGTGATAAACTTAAACCAGCTGATGAACTGATGACCTGTTGGAAGATAGTACCCAAATGCATTTACTACAGAAAAAAGCATTTAGTGTAGAATTGCTTTTAGAATAGACTGAAAATAATAGAAAAGACCTTTTGCTTTCCATGGTAATTCAGCTCCCTCTAATCCCATTTTGGGCCAGTGTTTCTGGCTTCTTCTCCTGGCATGATTTCTATACTGAATGAATGTCCTCCTTCTGGTTGTTCCTTTCCCTTTTGAGGAGACTAATGGAGCCCTGTCATTTTAACAGGATGTGTACTGAGCCATGTGGGCATGCCAGAGGCCAGATGGATGACTCAGAAACAACGCTTCAGCGATCTTGGCAACCGCTGATGAATCCAAGAAAGGAATAGAGCTGTTGTCTATCAACAGCAGAGAATCAAATGAGAGCAATTTTATCACTCAGAATAGATTGCACGGGGTAGCCCTGGGCTAAATTATTAAGTCACAGACGCCAACTTTGATGTCTTCCACTATCTCCACTTTCTGATTATTCTTATCATCCCTGTCTCCTACCCTGACCAAGGACTTCATTGTTAGTAGCCATTGAGTCAACTCTGACTCATGGTGACCTTATATATAGCAGAACAAACTATTGCCCAGTCCTGCACCATCTCATGATTGTTGGTATGTATGCATCTTACAGCACTATATTGGCCAATGTTCTATTGTGACCCATAAGGTTTTCACTGGCTGATTTTCTGAAGTAGATCACCTGGCCTTTCTTCCTGGTCAGTCTTAGTCTGGAAGATCCACTGAAACCTGTCCACCATGAATGACCCTGCTGGTATTCGAAATACCGGTGGCACAGCTTCCAGCATCATAGCAACATGCGAGCTGCCAGAGTACAGCAAACTGATAGACAGGTGGTGGGGCCAGGTACTTAGCAACCTTCATTAAGATGTCACACCCTGCCCTCTCTGATTAGCATGAACCTGGAAACTTACTTTTCTATGACTCCATCTCACCTGCCCATTGTCTGTGGCGGTAGTGGGGCTTGAGGGAGAGAGCTTCTAATTAATAATCAACAAATTTGGGCTAGGATTTAATGTTACCCCTCCCAGGTTACTGAGAAAAAAGATGTTTTAACTCCAAGGAAAATAAATTACAGGGAGTATAGACACCTCAGGTAGCCTTGAAGGATAGGAAAGGGGAGAGGTGGAGGAGAAATTCTCAGGTAGCAGCTCTCCCTGAGTCACACCACCCTGGGACATTTCCAAGGGATTTATCCTAGGTCTGCGTGGGGCCATTGGCTGGACTCACCAGTACTTCCTGTAGCCTACCAGCCTCTTGGGACATGTCATTCTAGTTCCTGAATTAGAGGGGCTACATATTCTATTTAATCTTCTTAATAACCACATAGAAAGGTATTATACTATCCCTTACACAGCGTGGACCACAGGATCCTTCAATGTTATACTACCCCTTACAAACGTGGACCACAGGATCCTTCAAGAACAGTACAAACTGTGAAGGTTAAATTTATCAATGTCAAAGATCGACTGTAATGACCTGAAATTAGAATGTTATCCTGGAATTAGGTGAATTAAAAAAAGAAAAAAAAAGAATACCCCACCTCCAGGGGTGGACCCTGACTAGTCCAAGTCAACCAGTGTAAGTACATCTCCCTTGTCACAGTGATTGCTTCTGTTACAACTAAGCCAATTAGTTCGTGTCATTCCCCTAGCCAAATCTGACCTAAGTCAGGGCAATGAAAATCAAGGAGATACATGAGGACTTCTGGTAAAGGAGCTTCATTGTTTTTATGAGAGAGCTTCTGGACAAGACTCGGTCTCCGTGAAAACTGATAAGGAAGCATGTAGCCATCTTTTTTTGGCAGTCACCTTATTCCATGAAGAAGAGCCCGCCTTAGGATGAAACTGACACCAAAAGAGGAACAAAGGTCTGGAACAAAACTGATTCCTTGATAACATCATTGAGCTGCTGAATCAAACCAACACTAAAGCCCACCCTACCTCTGACCTTCCAATTATGTGTATATAACTTAGGCTTAGGTTCAGTTGCAAGTTAATAGAAAATCCTAAATTATAGTTACTTAAACAAGTTAAAGATTTGTTCCTGTCCCAGGTTTAAAAAAAAAAAAATCCAAGCAGATAGTCCAGAGATAGTACACCATCTATCTGTTAGCTCTGCTATCTAAACACAAACGCTACTCCCTCATGGTCCAAGATGACTGCTGCAGCTCCATCACATCTGAATCCAATCAGCAAGAAGGTGAAAAGGGAAAGATACTTCTCAGAAGATGTACATACCACTTCTGTTTACATGTTGTTTTTGTGGGGTGCTGTTGAGTCAATTCTGACTCATAGTGATCCCATCTAACAGAGTAGAACTGCCCATAGGGTTTTCTAGGCTTTAATCTTCACAGGAGCAGATTGCCAGGTCTTTCTCCTTGAGAGCTTCTGGTGGTTCAAACTGCCAACCTTTCAGTTAGCAGCCAAGCGCTTAACCATTTGTGTCACCAGGGCTCCTTTCTATTTACATGCCAGAACTTAATTATATGAACACACCTAATTGCAGGTGAGGAGTCTCTGGGTGATGCCGGTGGTTGATGTGCTCAGCTGTTAACTGAAAGACTGGAGGTTCGAGTCCACCCAGAGGTGCCTCGGAAGAAAGATTTGGTGATCTACTCCCAAAAAATCAGCCATTGAAAACCATACGGAGCACAGTTCTACTCTGACATATGTGGGGTTGCCATGAGTCCGAACTGACTTGATGGCAGCTGGTTAACTGTAGGTGAGATTGAAAAACATTGTCTTTATTCTGAGAGGCCAGATGCCCAGCTATAAATTGGGACTTCTGCTCCTGCTAGAAGTGGAAAACTGATATTAGAAAATACCCAACAGTCTTAGTCACAGTGTGTTCTCTTGGTTGTTTAAGGCACTTCAAGCTGGGTTTCCTGTTGCTTGCGGGCAAATGCATCCTAATTAATACAACTGCTGAAGTCTCTACCTACCTGCCATCTCCAAGCACGTGGTCAAGGATAAAATATAAGAAGTCTTCACTGGAAACATCTCAAGGTTTTCACTTATTTTTCTCCTCAGGCTTGGTACAGCACCTAGCACATAGAGTCACCTGATAAATATTTGCCGAATCAAACAAAATTAACAGAAAGGATTCAAACAGAGAGAGTTCAATACAGTCTTGGCATTGGGACTTGTCAGCTCTGTCGCCTTAGGCAAGTTGTAAACCTTCACTGAGTCTCAGCTTCCTCGTCTGTAAATGGGAGAAATAATGTCTACCTTCAAACGTTATTATAAATGTTAGTGAAAATGCATGTGAAGTGCCTGGCACAATTCCTGGCACACACTCATGTGGTTGACAGACATATCTTCTTTTCGTGTGTGTGCTCTAAGTGAAAGTTTACGGCTCAAGTTCATTTCTCTTACAAAAATTCATACACACATTGTTATCTGACCCTAGTTGCTCTCCCTATAATGTGACAGCACACTCCTCCTTTCCACCCGAGATTTCCCATGTCCATTCAACCAGCTCCTGTCCTTTTTTGCCTTCTCATCTTGCCTCCAGAAGGGAGCTGCCCATTTAGTTTCATGTATCTACTTGAGCTAAGACACACTCTCTTCACGAGTATCATTTTGTCTTATAGTACGGTCTAATCTACGTCTGAACAGTTGGCTTCAGGAATGGTTTCGGTTCTGGGCTAACAGAGAGTCCGGGGGCCATGTCTTCCAGGGTCCTTCCAGTTTCCATCAGACCATTAAGTCTGATCTTTTTACTAGAATTTGAGTTCCACACCCCACTTTTCTCCTGCTCCATCAGGGACTCTCTATTTTGTTCCCTGTCAGGACAGTCATTGGTGGTAGCAGGGCACCATCTAGCTCTTCTGGTCTTAGGCTGATGGAGTCTCTGGTTTATGTGGCCTTTTCTGTCTCTTGGGCTCATATTTTCCTTGTGTCTTTGGTGGTCTTCATTCTCCTTTGCTCCCGTGTGCTGGGATCAGTTGATGCATCTTACATGGCCTCTCACTAGCTTTTAAGACCCCAGACGCCACTCACCAAAATGGAATGCAGAACATTTTCTTAATAAACTTTGTTATGCCAATTGACCTAGATGTCCCCTGAAACCATGGTCCCCAGAACCCGGCCCCTGCCATTCTGTCCCTCAAAGTGTTTGTATTCAGGAAACTTCTTAGCTTTGGTTTAGTCCAGTTGTGCTGACTTCCCCTGTAGTGTGTGCTGTCCTTCCCTTCACCTAGGATAATTCTTGTCAGCTATCTAGCTAGTGAATACCCATCTTCCTCCCTCCCCAACCTTGTAATGATCAAAGAATGTTTTCTTCTGTGTTTAAACCTTCTCTTGAGTTCTTATAATAGTGGTCTTATACAATATTTGTCCTTTTGCGACTGACTAATGCTTCCAGGTTCATCCGTGATATGAGATGTTTCACGGATTCACTAATGTTCTTTATTGTTGTGTAGTATTCCATGGTGTGAATACACCATAATTTGTTTATCCATACCTCCACTGATGGGCATCTAGGTTGTTTCCATCTTTTTGCTATTGTAAACAGTGCTGCAATGAACATGAGTGTGCATGTATCTATTCGTGTGACAGCTCTTATTTCTCTAGGATATATTCCAAGAAGTGGAATTGCTGGATCGTATGGTACTTATATTTCTCGCTTTTTAAGGAAGCACCAAATTGATTTCCAAAGTGGTCGTACCATTTTACATTCGCACCAGCAGTGTATAAGTGTTGCAGTCTCTCCACAACCTCTCCAATATTTATTATTATTTTGTGTTTTTTGGATTAATGCTAGCCTTGTTGGGGTGAGGTGGTATCTCATTGTCATTTTGATTTGCATTTCTCTAATGGCTAATGATTGTGAGCATTTCCTCATGTATCTGGTAGCCACCTGAATGTCTTCTTTGGTGAAGTGCCTGTTCATCTCCTTTGCCCATTTTTTAATTGGCTTATTTGTCTTTTTGTTGTTGAGGTTTTGCCGTATCTTGTAGATTTTAGAGATTAGATGCTGATTGGATACGTCGTAGGTGAAATTTTTTTCCTAGTCTGTTGTCTTTTTACTCTTTTGGTGAAGTCTTTTGGTGAGCATAAGTGTTTGATTTTTAGGAGCTCCCAGTTATCTAGTTTCTCTTCTGGTGTTTGTGCCT